CAAGAAGACCACGCAGACTGACTACAAGCAATGGCATGACAAAGTAACAACAATGGTGCATTGGAATATCTGCAAGAAATCCCATTTGCCTGCACGCAAGAACTGGTGGGACCACAAAACAGACAAAGTAATAGAAAATGAAGAAGCTTTAGAATTCAGACAGACAAGCACCTGCCACACATCACCCCAGACTTAACGTTTGTTGATAAGCAAGACAAAAAAGTCTGGATAGTGGACATTGCAATACCTGGAGACCGCAGAATAGAAAAGAACTGGAGAAAATCACAAAATACAAAAACCTGCAAAGAGAAATAGAACGACTGTGGCAAGAGAGAGCAACGACAGTATCAATAGTAACAGGCGCCTTGGGTGCAATCCCAAAACATGTGGAGTACCACCTGAACATCATTGGCATTGACAAAATCACCATCAGTCAATTGCAAAAGGAACAGCTTACATCCTGCAACAATGCCTTTAATACCATCAAACAACAACATCTGCCTATCCCGGGTCCTTGAGAAGGACTCAATAGGTGGATAAAAATGCCAAATCCAGTGTAAACATCCGGCTGACTGGATGAGGAAGATCATCCTCCTGGGTTTCAAACCTGCAACATTTGGGTTAGAAGGCAAAATGTTTTAATGATTGTACTATCCTAACAGGTTAAAAGGGAGTCTAAAAGTATTAAAGTTAATGCTGAACACTGGCTCAGTTGCAAAGGTGGTCCTTCCTCTGCCAAGTAGCCAAAGAACTACTGAGGTTCGATTGCACCAAAATGAAAGCACTCTGGCTGAAATGGATAGGAGTGTTTAAGCTGATGCTGGGAGGAAAGTGTACTTTTGAACTGGAGCAGGGCAATGTGCACAGAGATTGCTTTCAGGGCAGATCCGCACTATCTGCATGGCCCATCACCAGGAAGGGCCGCTTACCACATCCAGAGTGCAGGCATCATCTTCCTCCCACTCCCAGGCTGTGGCAAAAGCACCCCAAGCCCATGTTTTCCAGCTTTGATTAAAAATTGCTGCTTCCTGACCCAAGCTGTCTTATGGCTTTCAGAGAGGATGGTCTTCAGTGCTTCGTTCTGCTTTAGTAGTAGGCTCAGTTCTGATTAGCTGCAGGGCCTGGCATGTCCCTCCCTCCAGTGGCTGGTCACTGCTCTGTGCAGCCATTTCATTCTGGGCTGCTGGGCTGCTTTGTCCTCTGCTGGTTGGCAGTTGCTGTTTTTTAAACAATCTTGCAATTGTCAGAGCACTATCCTCATGCTTTGATCACCTCCTGAGTGGATTACTACAACGTGCACTACATGGGGTTGACCTTGAAGAACACCCAGAAGCTTCAGTTGGTCCAGAATGCAGCCGTGCAGGCAATTATGGGCATGTCTCACTACGCCCATGTGACACCTTTGCTCTGCAGGCTGCACTGGCTTTCAGTTCTTTTCTGGGTACAATTCAAGGCACAGTGCTGGTTATTATCTACAAAGCCCTACATGGCATGGGGCCAGATTATATTAGGGATCACCTGTCTCCCATTGTTTCTATTTGTCCCATTACATCAGTCCAGAGGAGCATGCTCTGGGTCCCATCTAGTATGGATTGTCATCTAGTGGAACCCAAGAAGTGTGCCTTTTCTGTAGCTGCACCTGTCCTTTGGAACACCATACTATCCAAGGTTCGGTTGCCCCCGACTCTGCTCACCTTTCAGAAAGCCTTGATAACCTGGCTCTTTTCCCAGGCAGGGGTCCAGGAGAAAGCCCATGCTATTGGTGGATGGGGAATGTGCTCAAGAGCCACTTCAGCTGGTGTTAGTGGGTCGGGAATGTTTTTAATATATATATATTAAATCAATATTTGGTGTGACCACCCTTTGCCTTCAAAACAGCATCAATTCTTCTAGGT